TGATGGCAACATATGTACAAATGTGCTTGATACCATTTATGTATGGATTGTGATAAGAGCTATAAGAGCCCCCAATAAAATGATTTATTAATATTTAAAAATAAATAAATAATAAATAAATAAACAGGACCACCTTTTCCCGCCCTGATCTTTTTCCTCCCTTGTGATCAGAGAAGGTCTTTGTGAAAGGTCAGCAGCTGGGCAAAGGAAGCAGGTATCAGAGGAAACAGCAAGGGACAAAGGAGTGGACAGAGGAGGGGACCTATTGTGTCAGCGTGGAGGAGGCAAGCATGATTGGAGTGATGTAAACAATGGGGACATTGCAGGGCAAGAAAAGAAGAGTGTGCTTTGAAAGTCTGTGTCATGAAATAAATCCTTCTACATGTGTGAACTTCGAAGACTCTAGGAACTAGAAATATTGACAGTCTGAATCCTCAAATAACAAAGACGTTTAAAAATCTAAGTTTTGCCCAATGTTAAGGTTCTAAAGCTTCTGTTCTACTTTTCGTCAGTTGTGTGTCGCTCTCATATATGCTGAGAAAGGTGTAAGATTGTCGTTGTCCATGATTGTACACCTTTAAAATTCAGCAGTGCATTCTAAAAATGCAAGGATTTAGAGTTTTTCTGGTTTTGTATTTTGTTTGTAAATTGAAGCCAACCATGCGAAAAAATACTTGCTCATTTGTCCCCTGACTTGTTTGTGTGTCGTTGTCTGACAGCAAACGCTAGAGACTGAGAAGATGAAAGGAAAGGGTTGACAGAAGCGAAAGTGATACCTGGTGCATCTTAATGAGGAAGCAGTCGATGAAGTCCCGAGGATTTGAGGGGTCTAAAGATGCTTCGTTGATTTTGACCCTGGCTGCAATGAAGTCCTTGAGCTCCTCTACCAGATAATAGATTCGATTGTGTCTTCCAGGAAAATATTGCATGACTCCGGAATACATATCATATAGCTGCAGGAAGCAGAGCAGAGATTTGTTATGAATGTGGCCAACATGAGCTGGGTTTGAACCCCAAAGCGGGGCTGGCATTCTGGAGGGGCGTCGGAGACTTGGGCATATTGCTATTGCTACTTCATTCTCCCTATGTTGGGGGGAGAATTAAGGCAGATGCTTAGGTCATTGAGATTTGGGATAGGGTGGGCAGAGAGGTGGCAAGTGGGCACCTGTGCCCATGGTGTGCTCATCTCAATGAAACTCTCGTTTATCAGCCTCAGCAGTGTCAGGAACTGCTTGTCCTCATAGTCGAAGCGGCTTCCGAAAACGACCGAGCTGATGACGTTGGAGACTGTGCGGCTCAGGAAGAAGGTGAGGTCGATGGGGGCGCCTGGGGAGGAGAATTGTCTGAGTTACAAGAAAGGATTGGGACTATGAGGTATGGGACCATTCTGTCCCGCATGGAGTAGTGGCTTCGGTGTTTTATCACGTGTGTAAGTTATTTCATTTTTGTATTTGAAGCCGAGATTTCCAGATTTTCAAATTGGTTTAATAAACATGGTATTGGTTTCAGGAGAGTCAGGACAGCCATGCCTGTAAAATGGGTGCACGTGGACTGCCACCCATTAAAGACTCAACAAATTCTAGAAGGACCAAGTGTTATGGGTGGGTTGGTTGGTTTTCTTTGTACACGTTTGGGAGAGGAAGCCACTCATTTGAAAAGAGATCTATGCATAAAAGAATAGCTAGACTTTGGTTCTAACTCTACCACTGACTCCGTTTGCGCTATTAAGAATAACCTTTCTTAGACTTCAATCATCCTTCTATAAAATAAGATAGTGATGTCATGTCAGGAGATTTGGGGCCTTTTTTCCACAGAAAAACTGTGCATATTCACATACGAGTATATGCTATTTTAAAAATAACTTGCGAGAATCGACTCATATTCAAAGAACTCACACAGATCCTATGATTAATCCCTCGGTCCCAGCTGAAGAATCTGATTCAGAGAAAAATCTACTCCCTGTTTCTTCTCTATTTTCCCTTGTATTTTTCAACTTCTGTATGTCTTCTCTCTAAAATCCAGTAATTTCTGGCCTTATTTTCGTTTCTAATAGGGATTGGATTCCTTTAAATATATAATCGAATTTAGGTCTGTGTCCAAAAGAAGTACAAACTCATATTTTTCCAAAATAGCTATACAATTTCTTTTTGTTTTGTTTCTTTTTTATTAATAAATCATTTTGTTGGGGGCTCTTGCAGCTCTTATAACAATCCATACATCACTTGTGTCAAACACATTTGTACATATGTTGCCATCAATATTTTCTAAACACTTATATTCTATTTGAGCCCTGGGTATCAGCTCTTCTTTTTACCCTCCCCCTTCCCACCCTCGTGACCCCTTGAAAAATTATAACTTTTTATTATTTTCATATCTCACCACACTGTCTGCTGTCTCCCTTCATTCACATTTCTGTTGTTCGTCCCTCTGGGGGGTTACACATCCATCATTGAGATCATTTCCCTCTTTCTCCTCCTTCCTTCCCCGCTATTCTCATGATATCGCTACTTCCATTACTGTTCCTGAGGGGTTTGTCTGGCCTGGATTCTGTGTGTCGAGAGCTCTTCTCTGCTCCAGTGTACATGCTCGGGTCTAGCCGGATATGAGCAGCTATACAATTTCAAGGATCAGAGACTCCTTAAAATCAACTGAGGTTGAGGTTCTGTAGACAACAGAGTTTTGAAAGTCCCTCGTGTTTATTTTTCACATTCCACCTGTAACAGTGGGCAACATCTGCGAATCCTAAATCGATCTTTTTTTCCAATCCATTCCCATTATAGAACGTCTTCCCACTAGGCCTATCTTTTCTCACCTGAGCTTTCTACTTCGGCCCAGTCTCCTGGTAGCCCTCCCCTACGTGCCCCCACACTGTACCGTTGGTCTTCCGTAATGATTCCAATAGGTAGCCAGCCTCCTCCTGGATCCGCTCCTCAATGCTTCGCTTTCCCATCCCAAAGTCCCGGAGGATGGTCAGGGAGAAACGACGCAGAATCCTCCACCTTTCACCGTTCGCCATCGCGACACCTGTCGGGATCTCAGCATCAGGCCATTGCCTTGCCTTCCTTTCGTGTCTCCAGCTCTGTGCTGGGCCATGAGGGGCCTATGCTATGAAAGCTCTAGAGTCTCTTCTCCAGGACCACGCCCCTTACTTCCCAGTCTGGCTGGGACCACTAAGATTCTTTCCCTGTTAGCCTAGGGCTGCAGTGACGGAAAGATATCAGAAGAGAAATGATTAGGCAATATCAATGGGGGCTTCTCAAAGGACAGAGAGTTAAGAAAATACATGGATGAATGCATTGAGCATCTGAGGAGGAAGGGATAGCATGTCATGTGGAGCATCCTGAAATGACAGACACTCTATTTTCCATGTACTTTGTGTATTCCCTAGACATGCACCACTGGATACACAGAGACTCAGACCTGGACATTAATGTGCTTACATAAATTGAGTTATCATTCAGTAAGAAATATTTAGACATTTTCAACTTAACATGTTCCCTATTGTTCTCCTATTACATTCCTTCCCCTCCTCATTTCTCCTTCCTCTCTCCCCTTCCAGATTTCTCCCCCTTCCTTCCAATACCTTCTTTCCCCACTAAAAGAATTAAAGTAAGCATTTAGAAAAGTCTAGATGTGCATGGACATTTGAATGGATATTTAGAAAGTTAATAAAAAGGTAAGGTGGAGGATAGTTTATGATTGGACTGATGCATGGGTGGCTGGATGAAAGAGTTAATGTATAGGTGAAGTGTTGGTGGGTACATGATTTGAAAACTACATGAATAGTTGAAAATAACAACAAATTAATGAATGAGTATATAGAAGGTTGGGTACGTAATAGGTTAAATAAAATGTAGTGGGTCGATCGATGTCTCTATATTTGTATATATAAGTGATTGGAAAGGTGAATGATTTAATGACTAGATGGAAGAATGGTCAGGTGAAAATGGGTAAGCAGAAGATAAAGAATGTCTAGATGTCTAGATATGTGATAGAAAGAATAATGAGTGAGGAGACCTTTGGGTGGAAGAATGGATCGATTAAAAAGTAAGGAGGTGGGGCCTAGGGTCTCAGGAGGAACCTGAAGGTGGCGGGGTTGAAGGTGTGCTCCTGCAGGGACAGGGGTGTTCTGCAGATCCGGGCAAGATGGCAGTGGAGGCAGAGCCACTACCCAGCCCGTCTAACAATAAAGATGGGAGAGAGCTGGTGAAATAGATGCAGACGATACTCCTGGGAGCCTGAAGGAGGAAGAGACTGATGGGTATGTCATCAAAGCATTACCATCTTGAACTTTCACAAGCGCCTTTTGATCAGTAGGGACTTGGCAGACCAGTGGCTGGTGACAAGTGGCCGGTGACAACACCCCTACTTCTGGAAACCTCACCAACTGGGCTACCTGTCATAAATAGCCAACAGCAGACACTAGTCAAACTCACCCTCAACTGTGCTACCAGAACAGAGAGGCACACACACACACATACTTATTACACCCACCATGAGACAGGTAGTAAGAAACACTCACAGAACAATCATCAATGAAGTTTAAATACACCAATAAAGTTTAAATTGTTTTATTTTAATCATTTTATTGGGGGCTCATATAGTTGTTATCACAATCCATACATCCATGCATTGTATCAAGCACATTTGAACCTAGGTTGCCATCATCGTTTTCAAAACATTTTCTTTCTACTTGAGTCCTTGGGATCAGCTCATTTTCCCGACTTCCCCACCCTCCCTTCCTCCGAATTTTGCTTTTTCATATATACCTTTTTCATCTCTCATTTTGGTTAACCCTGTGTTTTTGATGTTTGTTTGCCTGAACAATTAATTTAAAAAACAAACAGACAACAAAACACCCCCACAATGCCTCTGAGACAAGAAAGCGTTTCAGATCACATGGAACAAGGCAGACTGTCTCCAACAAATCACTAAATACAGAGCCAGAAACCCTTCCTGAGGAACTGCTTGATGATAAGGAATTCAAAAGAATGTTACTTAGCTACATTTAATAAATTCAGAGTGCTTGATGAAGGTCAAAACAAAAACTGAAGAACTCAGGAAAACACTACAAGAACAAACCAACAGTAAATGAAAAATGATGTGAAATCGCACAAAAGCAGCAAATGAAAATCCAGAAGGTTAAGATTTCAGAAATGGACAAAGGAGTAGCATTGAATTGATGAGAGGCTGAAGTAGTACACTAGATACCTTGAAAGAATGTGCTACTGGGCTTGGCAGCTCAAGGCCATAGTCTCCAGGGACACCAAGGTCAATTGGCATAACCTAGTCCACACAGATAATGCTCTACAGCTTAGAGCCCACTTTGATGAGTAGAGATTAGAGTCTTCAAAGCACATGATCAGACACTGAAAGCGCAGTTATTGGGCTCTTCCTGTACAAAGGAAATAAAAGTGATGGAAATCAGGGAAATGGAAAAATTAGTCAAAGGGATGAACAGACCAGGTAAACTTCAATCTTCAAAACCCAGAGTTCAGAAAAAAACAAACAAATGGTTTCCAGCTACCACTGAAAGGGTTCGTTTTGGAAGGTCTTGGATAGAATGGGAGAAAGGTATAAATTAAAAGTTGAAATCGCAGAAAGCATCAGAATAACTGGTCAGACATCCTAGGAACCCCGGAGTCTATGACCCTGAGTCACCCTTGAGATCTAGAACTGAACTTTATGCCCATGATTCAATTTTCAACCAAACAATAGCCGTGTCCGCAAGGAGAACCCTAGCACGAACGAGGTACTCACCCTTTAGAATAATAAGCCACTTGGGATCAAAAGTGCAGCATTTATCCAAGGACAATGCTCAGAAGGATTGGAAAAGGAGGAGTGGAAACAAGGAGAAAATGAGACGTGGGATCTTATGGTGCAGGGATTGCCAAGGATGTGGTGAAGCTCAGGGTGTGTGTGTGTGTGTGTGTGTGTGTGTGTGTGTGTGTATGTGTGTGTGAAAGTTGGGTTTAAAACTGATGATCTTCTCTGTAAATCCACCCGATCACGATAAGAAGATTTTGTTTGAAGCGGGTAGATGGAAGTAAAGGTGTAAGGAAAGATAGATCCATGGGTGAACGTGGATGAATGGATAACATGAATTATGTGAAGCTACTTAGAACTGAGAGGTCCTAGTAGCTTGAGATGGATGTGTGGGTGAGCTGTGTATTGTGTATGTGCTTTGGACAGGTAGGGTGGAAAGTTGGCCATGAGCTCTTGGGTGGGTCCACAAAGACTTAGCTGCATGCATGAAAAGCTAGAACAGAACTAACACAGCAAATTGATTTCAATTTGCTGGAGTCAGCAAATTGATTTCAAATCCTGGCTCTACTTCTTATTGTGTGTGGCAGTGACATAATCTGTCAACTTCTGAAGGGATGGAGTCTAGCCTGTCAATCAGGTTGCAGCTTGATGACTTCATTTGGAGGCCTGAAGGAGATAAATAGCTCACTGGAGGCCAGATAGACTCTCTGCTGGTCTCCCTGGGAGACATTCCTGTTGACAAGCCACATGGAGCTATGTTGATGGAGCCAGAGCCCTGGAACTGGAGGAGCCACGTGGAGACCCATGCCAGTGCTGACATGCTTTCACCTCCACTGGATCCACAAGACTTTCCACCCAATGGCCTGTGATCTTCCTGCATTCTTGCATCATTGCATGTGCTGCATGAGTCTAAAGAAAAATGTATTGGCTGGTGTTGACATACGGGCTAATATCAGACTTAGGGACTTGATCTGGACTGGGTACATTATCAACCTGTCTGTTGTTATCATTGTTATTTTTACCTACCATGACCTTGGAAGTTTCGATCTATGGATGCCAATTCTCCACGGCCACTGAAATCATCTGCTCGGTCTACCAGAGCCTCCTTCACTGCTTCATGTCCACATAAAATAACTACAGGCCTGGGGCCCATGTACACAGTGAACACCGGGCCATATTTCTCTTTGAGCTAAGGGTGGAAGAGAACAAAAGAAGATGTTGGTTGGAGCACCAAGTACAGGTCCTTCGTGGATTGAACGTTGGTGTTACAGGGGAACACCGAGAAGGGTAGAAAGTCTACAGGTTAAGCTCTGGGTTTGGAAAGGCTATTGAGAAAGAGAATAGAAGCTTGGGCTCCTGTGATCCTGGGCGAGTCCCATCACCTTGAACTTGCTTCTGTCATGAATTGAACAACTTTCATGATTCTCTTTCTGAAATGCTAAAGTATGACATCCAAAGATGTCGTGATTCTGCATCTCAAAGTTATAAAATAATCTCATTGTAAATGCCCTTGTGTTTTAGAATCTAAGCTAGTGCAGTTCCCAAATCCTCAGATTCTGAATATCTCTTATTTCAATATGTTACATGTCTGTGCTACCAAAATTTGGGGATTATTTTTTTTTTTTTTGCATTTATAGTTTTCTTTTTTTTTCTAATCATTTGATTAGGGGCTCATACAACTCTTATCACAATCCATACACACATCAATTGTGTAAAGCGCCTTTTCAGGGCGCTTTGTACCGAGGGCGCTCGGGGATTATAAAATGAGCAGGCTCAGAAAGTCTATGCTTTCTGAAGCCCGAAGCTGCTAAACCTACCTGGCTGAATAGAATGAAGTCCCCAGGGGACAAGAACAAGGCTGACAAGAGGCCACCGAGAATGAGGATGACAACAACAAAATGGAAACTGGACGGAATCCAAGGCTATCGAACTAAACACTTGTGGCTGCGCCCCTTATCGGACTGAGCCCCCACGACCACACCGATGGCTACACCCCCCAAAATTGTATAAAAATCAGCCAAGAGCCTGGAGGGGTAGAGCTTCTTGATTGCCGCCAGAGAACAGGACTTTCACTCTCTCCCTCCTCTCGCTGGTAAGTCTTGCTCATTTTTCTTGACTTGCTCTTGCTCTGTGTGTTTGACCGTTGGACTAAGTTGAAAGCCTGTCTGGCTCAGAGAGTGTGTTGTGCTGGTGAAAGAACTTAGCCTAGCATAAGTCGACTGCTTCCGAGGCTGTCTTTGGAACTGTCTGCAGGTCAAGACACTGGCTCTATAACGAAATGCTTCCTTCCCCGCGGAAAGGTGGACTCACCTTCATGAAAGACTGATAGGTGGCATCGGTTCGGACTTGCAGCAGGTTTCCCAGGAAGGGCAGTGGTGTGGGGCCTGGAGGCAGCTTCCCGCCCTTGCTGATTCGTTTCCAGGCAATGAGGATGATCAGGCAAGACAAAGAGAGTGCCAGAAAGATAGTGAAAGCGCCTCCTAGCTCCATGATGCCAAGCCGGTCACCTGTATCCAGGGACCCTGGAGCTACTTAAACAGGTTTTCAAAGAGCAGCTTAGGTAAACATCTGAATTCCTGGGGCGGGGTAGCTTTTTTGATATTGGATATGATGAAGTAAGATTTTGTTTTGTAATGCCATTGTTATGTAACCTATAATCTCCCACTTGAGTGTAGATTGAATTCTCCTAAGAAATTCCTACAGAAAGGATGTGCCCATCCCCTCTCTTCATATTTCTGGCCCCCAGTGCTCATTGCACAAATCAATCCCTAGTCAACACCTCCTGGTCAGGTGCAGGAGGCAGGGGAACATCACTATTAGGCTCTGAAATTTGAGGGTCAGATGATCTGTATTCAAGTTTCCGTTTCCTCTTTCTCTCCGTGGTCATCTCTCAACCTTTCCTGATCTGTTTCTCTGCACGTCAAACAGCCTAACCACAGTGTTTTGTGTTGGTGTTTTTTTTTTTTTCTTTGTCGAATCTCTGGCTCTCTATTATGTTTTTAAACATTTTATCAGGGGCTTAGACAACCCTTGTCACAATCCAGGCATACATCACTTGTGTAAAGCGCATTTGTACATTCATTGCCCTCATCATTCTCAAAACATTTGCTCTCCACTGTTGGTGTTGGGTTGGTTTTTTTTTAAGTCTTTGCAGTGGCAGTGAATTCTTTAACATGGTTCGTCTAGCCAAAGTCTCTGTAACGCCCACCAAACGACCTAGAACCTACCTGGCTCTAGACAAGAAGTTGGGGAAAGACATTGCTAGGTAGTACCACATAGCAATTGTTAAAAGGATTCATTGTGATGCTCCTCTACTGGGTAAAAAAAAAAAAAAAAGAGCCCCCTGAGAAGCAAGAAGGGAGAATCCTGCTATCAGCAAAAGCCAGGAGTAGAGTGTGTTCTCAGGAGCACAAGATCCCCATGTAGTGGCAGAGGAGGAACAGCAGCAACAACAAGCCAGGCACCAGCTCATGAGGCAGAGTGGTGGACTTCCCAGACCACAGAGCAAGTAAATCCAAGCACTTTGGGCCAGGAGGCTAATTTGTGGAATGGGGTGGCCCTGGGCACTTAACTGGGGGAGCTGAGTTTGCTCACCCATGGAGCTGGATCTCAGTACCTTCAAGTTAGGACTTACTAGAGTAGGGTACCTATGAGCACTCACCTAGCCTTTGGATGGAGGCTTACGGTAGAGTGACATGCCCTTTGGGTTTTTATGAGCAGCCCTGAAAGAACTTTGTAACATGCCCTGACTGCACAACTCTATCTTAAGCGTTTCTCACCTGCGTTGTAACCTGTTAAGTTTAGTAATAAACCCTTCAATCATGAATACCGTCTGTGAGCTCTGTGTGGTCATTGCAATGAATTTTTGATTGAACTCAGTAGCTGAGAGGAGCCCTGGTGATGTAGTGCTTATGCCTTGGGCTTTGATCCTCAAGGTTCACAGTTCAAAACCACCGGCCACTCCTCAAGAGAAAGATGGGGCTTTCTACTTCTATAAACAGTTACAATCTCAGAAGTTCACCAGGGCAATTCTACCCTGTCCGGTAGGGTCACTATGAGTCAGCATCGGCTTGATAGCCGTGAGTTGGTTTTTTGTTTTGTTTTGTTTTGTTTTTGAGAATTTGAGTAGCTGAGAAAGGAGAGAATATTATGTGTGAAGGAACAGCTTTGTTAGAAATCAAGGGCCATTTATACACAGCACATAAGCTGTGTTTCTCCTATTTAGGTAAACTCATTTATAGGGTTGCTAATACATCCATCTCTGTCTACCTACATCCACCATTGCTACGTAGCCTCACATCATTTACTCATTTCACTCATCGATCCTTCATGACATCGATCCAAACATTCTCTTTGCCAAAGCAAACTCACCGCCATCAAGCCGATACCAACTCATAGCGGCCCTAGAGGACAAGGTAGAACTGCCCCTCTGTGTTTCTGAGACTGTAACTCTTTATGCGAGTAGAAAGCCGCGTCTCTCTCCTATGGTTAGCAGCCCAACTCATCCAGGGTTTGGGGGTGTGTTTTTTTTTAGTAAAGAAAATGAGAGGAAGATTTAGAATCCCCAGATTAAAAAATATCAGAATCAATTCAACAAGTTGTTTTATTTATTATCCAAAGAGTTTCTGTATTGGTTTATCAGATTCATGCGTGTGTGTGTGTGTTTGTGTGTGTGTGTACACACATGTGTTAAGTGTCTAAGATGCAGAGACCACCACCTCACCCAATCTCTAAACATCACTTCTTGTGGCAAATAAGCCTTTCTCTGCCCTTTTTCTTTTCCTTAGAGAAAAAAATAAAGGGCGGGTAAATCTTCTTTACTGTCCTGAAATGAAATGCCTGGGTATTATGTCCTATCTACACATATTATTAAACAAATGCTAATACCTTCTCATGTGTCTGGATTCTCAGACTTAGAAATTGAATCCCTAAGGGAACCTATGAATTGTGATTATAGGATTTGACTGCATAGACCCATTCGGCCTATGTCCAAGAAAGACGGGGGAGATTCTGGGATAGTGGGGGCTCCCACAACGCAACCTTCCAGGTTTTGTGTCTGTTGCTATGATGTGTTTTCTTGGACAAGAGACCCAGCTTTCAGCCTCTTTCAGCTGCTTCCTCTTTAACTCTCCTACCCTCTACCTCCTCCTTCCAATCCAACTCTTTCTTTCCACCGCCCATCCACAATTACACCCATTCATGACTGGTCTTGCACCTGTCAGCTGTGGTGGCGATGTGTGGTGGAAGAGGTGGTCATAGAGACAGGAAGTGAGGGAGAACGTGTTTTAGAACAGCTCCCATCGTCACCCTCATCTCCAGGCAGGAACGGAGACACGTGAACTAAAGGGTGCGAGCATGCTGAAGAACAAGAGCGATTGCAGAGAACCAGAGACAGAGCAACCCAGAGCCACCGCAGGTGCCGTCAGATACCGTGTGGTAGATGGAGAGACCAGGGCTGGGAGAGAAAAATAGAAAGGGGGGGGCGGGGCTAAGAGAAGCGAACCAAGTGAGAGCAAACTAGAAATGAGAGCGTGGGACACAGAGAGAGGTTGAGATTCAATGAAGCACAGATAAGGAAAGATAAAGGCCGAGCTAACACTTTTTAAAAGGAGCTACAAATAGCAAGAAGGAACTAGAACCAACAAGGAAACAACAGAAGAAGCGTTTTGGTCAGGCAGAAATATGTTTTTGTTTTGTTTTTAAATTATTTGGGGGGTGGGCTCTTACAGCTCTTAACACAATCCATTGTGTCAAGCACTTGTGTACATATGTGGCCATCATCATTTTAAAACATTTTCTTTCTCCTTGAGCCCTTGGTTTCAGCTCCTCTTTATTTCCCTCCCTCCCTCCCTCCC